TTTTTTCCCCCCCCCCCCCCCCCCCCATGGGATACACGAATGGTCCCTGCTCCTAAGGCCAATCCTTCTTCTTCACTAGATCCATCCCCTCTGGCCTTCTTAAAGACTTGGATCCTCCATTTATCCTTTTCCTCCTCCTATTATCAGTGTCTCCCTATCTGCTGCATCATCCCCACCAGCATATGATATTCTGTAATACTGCCCATCTTTTAAAGCAACTATAGCAACCTACTGGACCCCAAGTCCTCTGCTCTCCTTCACAAGAAAACCCCTTTAAAAAATTTTGTATACTCACTCTCTACTTCTTCACCTCCCCATTCCCTTTACCTAATGACATCTAATTAATCCAATGATATGCATGTTTCTACACTTAGTGGTGAACTGTCTGTCCTTGTTTGCTTGACCCCTTAGCACTGTTTGACATAGCAGACCACTTCCTCCTACTTGAAACACCCTGATTTTCTCCTCTCTCCTGCAAAACAGCTCTTTTTCTGTGTCTTTTACTGATATCTCCCTGTTCCTCCCAATCTTTTAATGTTGGCATGCTCCAGGACTATATCTTGGCCGCCTTCTCTTCTGTTTATACTTTTCTCTTGGTGCCCTCAACCAAGCCTGGATTTAAATTTAGTGACTTCCTAATTTTATCTTCATACTTGACCTTTTCCCTGAGCTCCAGACTGTTATATTTAGTTGCTTAATTAAAATTTCCATTTGGATATCCAACAAGAATTTCAAATCTAACATGTTTATAACAGAACCATTGACTCTCCCTTGTCCTTACCCCCATCTTCCTCATCTCGGTTAACACTGACACTACTAATCCAGTTACTCAAACAAAAAGTCCTTGTTCTTTCCTTCCCTCACCTTCTGGTCCAAACTATGAGCAAATCCTGATGGACCATCTTTTACCTGCCTCTGAGTTGGTCTCCCTATTTCTATTTTTGACCCTCTTTCCTTTCCCCTTTTATGCTATTTATTTTGGAAATTTTTAAACACTCAAAAATGACAATATAATATAATGAACCCTCCAGGTACCCACTACCAAACTTCCATAATCATCAACTGATTGCTTCCATTATTGAAAACTTAGATCACATTATGTTTTTCCATTAATTAAAACCCTCCTAATGGCTTCCCATTACATTTAGAATTAAATCACAACTGCTTTCCATGTCCTTTAGGACCCTACATTATCTAGCCATTCCTGCCTTCTCTAGCTCATGCCCTCCCATTCTTCCCTTCTCTTGTTATGATCCAGTCATAGTCTTCTTTTTGAGATACAGAAGAGGAAGCTAAAGTTCAGGAAGGATAGGTAATCTACACAAGCTTGCACAGGTAGCCTAGAATCCAGGTTCTCTGACTCTAGACCCCATTGCTTGTATTTCTAATTTGGAGGCTGTGTGATAGAATGGAAGTAACATGGACTTTGAAGTCATAGACTTGGAGGCAAAATTTGACACTGTCATTTACTACCATCTGAACCTCAGTTTCCTAATATCTATTATGGGATTAAATAATACATAACTTCTACTCTTATTGGGAAGGTTAAATGAGATAATACATGTATTGTACCTAGTTCAATTAAGACTTATAACCACTCACCACCCCATCTCTTCCACAAACACTTCACCCTTATGCTTGTTGGAAAGATGGATTTAGGGGGACAGATAAAATTACTATGTAGTACTGTGAATATTATGTTCCTTAAAGTATTTGTGTTATTCATTTATTTTATTGTTCCCACAGAGATTTGTGTGGAGAGAAGCAAACCATAGGTGCATTACTCACTAAGTATTCTCGTTCTTCAATGCTAAATGGTGTTAAAGTTTATAATTCCAGAAGACCCATTTCTTAAGTCTTTTCTTTGGGACTGAAGTTGCTTTATAAGGTTGTTGGATATAAGAAAAAGATCCTCTTGTGTATTTTTATTCCTGACTTTTCAAAACCTAATCCTTTAAGGTGTTTTTTCCCCTCACCTTAAACATTTTGAAACTGCTACTCTTCTTATTACTTAAATGTAAAAGATATTTCTATATCATTCAAATTATGTTTGTACTATGTACACAGTGTAAACAAGGACAACAGGAAGTATTATTTCCTATGTTTAGTATATTTCTGAGATTAGTATATTTACATGGTTTTATTTGTAGAAAGTTTTGCTTTTTATATTTAAAATTCTTATTTTTTTAATTAGGATTTAATGTTCTAATCATTAAATACATTTAAAAGTTTTTCAGAGAATAGTAATAGTTTCATAGAAGAGAATTATTTGTTCACTTAAATGCCATTTCTCAAGTGAGTTCCCCTCCACTTTCAACCTTCCACTGGAACAGGAAATATCTAGGTGCTGTCAATTATTTATATTAGTTGTTTACGCTGATTAAATTTGCTCGATAATTGCTCCTGTGTTCGCCTGGCTGATATAGACATGCACTTTGAGACAAAATGGGCTTGATCCTCAATCCTATGTGAAGAATACTAATAGAGCAGTTTATAATCAGAATGGAGAAACTGGCACAGGTAATACTCCCCAGAAAACTACAAGTAACTTCTACTTGGTAAAGTGTCTTTATAGCAGTACAAATTAATTTTAACTTAGTTAATTAACTGGTCACCAGTATAGCTGGTAAGCCAAGGTGAAGTCTGGTACAAGATTTTTTGAAAAATTAATGAATAATCTATAATTATTTAACCAAGATTTAACTGTTATTGAAGTTTACAAGTTTCTTTCTCATGAACATGAAATACAAACATGACTTCAAAATATATTCTTTCAATAAATTTTTCTGTATTTATGTGGATTATGTGAGATAGTATACGTATTTTTAAAAACTGAGGCAGCAGTGCCTAATGAGGACTCCAGAGTTTCAGAATTAGACTACCTGGCTGTAAAGCTAGGACTAGGTCTCACACACCCCTCGAGCCCATTGTCCAGACCGGGTCACAAACCGTTCACAAGCAGGTCTACAAGCCAGGTAATAGGAAAAGGTCCTGGGAGCCGTTAGTGAACAAATAACAGGCTTTACTCAGAGCTAGGAGCAGCTGACCTAATATGGCTTCCTGGAGCATCCTCTAGAAACTTTGCACATCTGTGCCATTAGTTCTTTATACTCAAGCCCATAATTCAGAAAAACACCCAGATGCACATGCACAATCACATTAGATAATAACAAGAAATACCTGTGTGCATGTGCATACACACCTCAGATGTTCAGCAAGACTCTGAACATCCGAGGAGCCCTGATCATTTTTTAAAAATAATTTCCAAACAATCCACCCCTTCAGGGTCCCTTGCCATACAATCTAAGTGTTCAGAATCTGTGATGTTCCCTGAGCGAGAATAAATGACCCTTACATTCATATAACCTATTGTCTGTTCAATATGTCCTAAGGCTTTTCCTTAAGGCTTATAGATCTGTCCTTTTAACTATTAGCTGCATATGTCCATGTTGTTTTGCCTCCCACGGATTTGTCACCCCTTTTCCCCTGGGTGACGGAGCCACCAAAGATTACTCAAAGCCCATCTCTTCTGAGCAGTGAGAAGCCCCTGAAAAGGGGTTAATCTCCCAGAACCCTCAAGATAGAGGCATTCCTTCCATTTAGGAAATTAACCCTGAATTGGGGTTTTCTTCTCACATTTATTCTCTAGACCAGGAAGTTACAGGAAGAGAATGTAAGTGGGGTTTTTGCTAAGTATAGTTTAACAAGTTTAACAGTAGAAGCTGGTAACATTCAGTAAGGTGACATTCTATAATGCAATTTGCAACAAAAGCTTGATTTTAGCAAATATTCTCTTCTAACCGCAATTTCCCAGTACCTTTACATATCAGTCAGTAACCTGTCTGTCTTTGAGCCAACAACCTTGCTGTGTAACAATTCTTTATCTTACAACAGAGACTATATAGCCTGGGGAAAATTTCCTGTCCATTGCAAGGTCAATATTTGAAACTGCAAGGCTTTGGAAAACCAGGCCCTGTTAAGTACATTTGTTTTATGCATACTTCACATGTCCGATTGGTAGTCATCATTGGTGTGTTTCTTCATGGGAAGCCTGCAGTCATACTGATGGGAAGTTCAACACATATTCAGTAGCTGACACATTGATGACGTGACTCTGGTGCAGTGCCTGCAGCCAGAATACTGTGGGTGAAAAGATAGAAGGGTTATTGGTACCAATAGATTACCTGAATAGCTTCTGGGATGACCCTCATCTTACCCAACCAGACCATTCCTAGGAATTTGACTGAAAGCCCAGGTCCTTCCACTTTGGCTGTGTTCACAGCCCACCCACATTGTTCCAAATGACTAAGCAGCATTGGAGCTGCTTGTGTTAAATCTGCAAGAGAATTAGAGGTTAGTAACACATTGTCAATGCAGTGAAACACTAACCATGCTGGGCCTACTCCACTTGGCTAGGTCCCCAGCCACCAAACCATGACAGATAGTTAGGCTATGCAGGTAATCTTGGGGCAATACTTGAAAGGTCCACTGTCTTCCTTCCCAGGTGAAGGTGAACTGGTCTTGGCTATCAGCCGAGATTGGAATAGAGAAAAAAGCATTTGCAAGGTCCAATGCATAATAAGTTCCCAGCTGAGTTGTCAGCTGATCCATCAAGCCGTGTACTGAAGGCACAGCTGCATGCAAAGGAAGCACTACTTTGTTTAGTTCTTGATAATCTACAGGTACCATCAGGCTTTTTCACTGGCCTTACTGGAGCATTAAATGGGCTATGAGCCGGATGAATAATGCCAACTTTCACTAACTCCATTATAGTGGTACCTATCTGTTTTAGTCCGTTTTGTGTCGCTATAACAGAAATACCTGAGACTGGGTAATTCATAAAGAAGAGAGGTTTATTTGGCTTACGATTCTGGAACAGCTGCATCTGGCATGGGCCTCAGGCTGCTTCTACTCATGGCGGAAAGCGGCAGGCAGCCAGTGGGTACAAACAAATCACATGGCAAGAGGAAGCAAGAGAGAGGGAGCGAGAGCGAGGAGGTGCCAGGGTTTTTTTAAAGCAATGAGCTCTCATGGGAACTAACAGAGCAAGAACTCACTCATTAATCCATTCATGAGGGATCTGTCCCCATGACTCAATCAGTTTCCAACACTGCCACATTGGAGATCAAATTTCCACATGAGTTTTGGAGGGGACAACACATCCAGACTCCATCACTATCTCTGCATGTCCTCCCGGTAGGTGATACTGCTTTACATTTACTACATGTCTTGGCTTGGGTAACACCTGTGGGTTGTGTTTAGTATATCCTCATAACACAGGCTTTACTGTCCATATTTGCAGCTGAAACTCTCCAACTGTTGTTTGTAGGTGCAAACCATAAAGTACATCCATACCCAGGATGTATTCAGCTACTGGGGATATATATACAGTATATACACGAGGGGGTAACCGTCCGACGCCCAATGGCAGTGACACAGCTTTGACTTCAATAGTATGTCCTCCATACCCATCTATACAAACTGTGGCCCCTGGAAACTTATCTGGATTGCCATATATCGGGCTACATTCTGCACCTGTATCCATGAACACCAAAACACGCTGCACATTTGTCCTTGACTGATATATTGCCAATTCAATATGAGGCCTCTGGTCCTTGCCTGCCTCCAAAAGATGAGTACCTTGGCCTGCTCCTTAATCGAAATGGTACACTTTATCTATCTCCTTGGAAGCAACCAAAAAATCCTTTAAATCCACTGAGCATACCTTGCTACCTGTTTCCAAATGCCTAGTGAAACGCTCTCCAGGGTGCAGTTGCTGCCACAAGGCAAACAGGACCGCATTTGGCTGCCGGTCAATTTTCTTTTTATCAACCCCTGCTGCAAGCAAGTCAAGCCACATCTGCTATGGCTAGTCTTGCTTGATCCCCTTGGGATAAAATTCCAAGCCTTTCTTGGGGGTTTGGTCTTAGCCACCTTTTGGAACCCTTTTGCTTGTCTACTATACTCTACTTCACCCAAGCTGGCTATCATGTTCATTACTTCATGTATAGGACAACCAAAGTATGGGGCTAGTATGGCCATCAGTAATCCAAAGGATGCTGACGGAGCATTTTGCAGCACTATGTCTCTCATGCTGCCTGTAAAATTTTCAGTGTCCGGGCCATGAGTGTTCGCATTAAACATAGACTGCCACATCCCCAGCTCCCGAATTATTTGTACTAACTCAGCGTATGTTTGCCATTTACTCACAATCTTGGGCAGTTCTCCAGCATTTGCCCACATGGTTCAGGCAGCTCCATTCACCTATTCCATTAAGGAGCGATTACCTGGCCCTTGTGCACGTCTGCGGCTATTCTGTAGCCGCTGCCTCAGGAATGGGTGTATGGTAATGGAGGCCAATTTTTCCATCTCCTCACCAGAGCACATCACACCATCCACCCCTAGGTCCCATAACCGCAACAGCCAAGCAGCCAGGAGTTCCCCTTTTTCTGCCTGAACTGTCTCCCCAAGTCAACTAATTCAGCCTGGGTATATGGGACATAGGTAGTGAATTGGGTCACCTGTGGATTGCCTCCGGTTGTCCTCTGGGTCCCATAGGCTGCTTGTGCTTCAGAAATGCCTCCGGTTGTCCTCTGGGTCCCATAGGCTGCTTGTGCTTCACTTTCTGATGCACAACAGGTTGTGCCTGGAGATGCATGGTCTCCCCCAACTCACCACTGGGTTTGTCGTCTTCCCTGGTGTGAGAGGCAGGAGTGGCCAGTCGCTGCATGTCATCCTCCAAGGCATTTATCCATGCTTCCAGCAACTCTGCTTTCCGCTTCAAATCTCGATCAGCTTGCAGTATAGTGAGCGATAGCCAGATCCCAGTTAACAGGAAAGTGGCCATAGGGCACAACATTTTCAAGAGTAGCCACATTTCCTCCTTCTCCCAAGGGGCTTTTGGCTACCTTGGCTCCTGTACCTACTCAGGATCCATGTTAATTGTAAAGCTAGGACTAGGTCCCACAGACCCCTCCAGTCCGTTGTCCAGACCAGGTCACAAACCCTTCACACAGGTCTATGAGCTAGGTAATAGGAAAAGTTCCTTGGAGCCGTTAGTGAAGAAATAACAGGCTTTATTCAGAGCTAGGAGCAGCCTACTTAATATGACTTCCCAGAGCGTCCTCTAGAAACTTTGTGCATCTGCGCCATTAGTTCTTTATACTCAAGTCCATAATTCAGATAAACACCCAGATGCAAATGCGCAAGCACATCAGACAATAGCAAGGAACACCCGTGAGGTGATACCCACCTCAGACGCTCAACAAGACTCCAAACATCCAAGAAGCCCTGACCATTTTTTTTCCTATAGTTTCCCAACACTGGGGTCTAATCACATTTTAATATATTTTACAGTTGAAATCATTAGCACCCAGTGAGTTTATGGTGTCTGTTCACAGTGCAAGCCAGACGCACACCCTCCAGGTTTCAGGAGACTCCTGTTACCAGCCCCCAGCCCAGAGCCTCTGTTAATAGTCGTCTACGTGCAAACCTTGTCCTCCACACTTCTCCATGTAATTGCGCAGGACCTTTATTCTTCTAAAATATAATACTCCCTTTTTCTCCTGCTCTTCTCGCTACACCCCCTACATACTTTCTCCGCTTTCCTAAATTTTCACAATTCTCATCCACTGCTTGCATACAGAAAGGAAAACGCAAAAATCCGTTATCGCGCAAGCCCGGCCCACTGACAAAACTTCCGGGTTCGGCCCACGACGCTGTCTCACTTCCGCTAACGCCGGAGGTCGGAGGTGACAGGCAAGATGGCGGCCGCCAGTGCCTTTGAGTGCTTGCTAGGAGGAGTAGGTCTGTGACAGAAACTAGGTGGAGACGGCTGAGAAGAGTCGAATACAGGGAGTTTGAGACAACTACCCTCTGGCAGGGCCGGGTCTGGGTGCGAAGGGTACCGCGGCCGCGGGGCTTGACTGGTGGGACCGTGGGGGAGCCTGGTGTGTGAGGTGCCCGACTTCAGTAATGCACCGCAGTCCTCCGGGAAGCCGGGAAGCCAAGCTGCGCGGGACCGCTTCGTGCCACGGACAGGTTTATAGCCCGCCAGAATGAACAGGAAGAAAGGAGACAAGGGCTTTGAAAGCCCAAGGCCATATAAATTATAAGTATCTTTTGATCTCCTTTCTCTTGGTTTTGCTTTCATTATATCTTGTGATTGCTTGAAGCTGAGTTGGCGGGCCTGGGAAACCTAGTGGGAATCTAGAATTCA